AGGTGCCTGTGGAATTCCAGGAAGCCATCTCTGTGTCCATGGCTGTCTACCACTGAGAGGAGTAGGGACCCTCTATCGCCTCTGCGTAAGAGCGCGGGGTCGGGATGTCTGGTGCATCCGGGTCTCCCTTAGGGGCAAGCAGCATGGACACGAGATGAGGTAACGCAGCGGCAAAGCACTCAAAATCCTCCGGTCTATCCTCAAGGACGTCCGTGCCAAGAGCACACTCACCCCCGACAGACAGAGGACAGAAAGACGCAGACTCAGACTCAGCAACAAGACTAGTGGCGTAGTCTAGACGACAGGCGGCAGCAAAGTCAACAAGCTCAGCAACTAGAGCAGACGCAGCAGTGAACTCAAATGAAGGGTCAGTGACACAAAACGCGTGACAGTAGGACTAGTAGCACGAAGGGAGTCAGACTCCGTGTCTGGACCGTCAGGAATAGAGGACGCAGGAGGAGACGGCTGAGGGACACGCTGTGGAGAAGTGGAAGGACGCAGAGTCATAGAGTGAGTGCCGGGGACAGGAGGAGGACGCTGACGCGGAACACGTCGACCAGTGCGAACAGTGCGAACAGGCGACTCAGGACGAGACTCAGGTGACGCAGGACGAGACTCAGGCGATGCAGGACGAGACTCAGGCTCACGACGCTCCGTAAGGCCTCTAGTCGGTCCAGAGTAAGGAGAAGGACCAGGGAATGGAGAGGCTGGCTGTAACTGCGACAGTGACTAGACAAGCGGTGGACTCACTAAGGGAGGAGTAGGACCAGTAGAAGGCGGGAGACCAAGAACCTGCTGAAGGAGCGGAACGTAGTACGGCCGCAGCCGCGCAGCACCTCGAGAAATAGCAGAGACAGCACCAGTTCCCTCAGCTCCAGGGTCTCCAGCTACAACTCCCGCAGCACGACCAGCTCTAGTACCTCCAGCAGCTCCAGCTCCAGCAGCACCTCCAGTAGCAACAGCTCCAGCACCTACAGCTCCAACTCCTGCAGCACCACTAGCCCCAGCAGCTCCAGTACCTCCAGTACGAGCACCTCCGGGACCAGCTGCTCCAGTACCTCCATCAGCGCCAGTACCTCCAGCACCAGCACCTCCAGGACCAGCAGCTCCAGCAGCTCCAGCACCAGCAGCACCTCCAGCAGCTCCAGCTCCAGAAGCACCTCCAGCAGCAAGCCCCGTAGCTCCAGCAGCACGGCTACAGCGTCGAGCGTACCTCTCACGTAGCCGCTGCGGAGAGAGGGGCTCCCGCCGTGACGGGACACCCGGAGGACCTCCAGACTCAGCATGCTCAGGCTCAGCACCCCCAGGCTCAACACCCCCAGACTCAGCACCCCCAGGCTCAGCACCCCCAGGCTCCACACGCGCAGGCTCAGCACCCCCAGGCTCCGCACCCTCAGACTCAGCAACCCCAGGCTCAGCACCCCCAGGCCCCGCACCCGCAGGCTCAGCACCCCTAGCAGCACCAGAGTCGACAGCTACCTCGACAGGCTCGACAGGGTCTACCTGGGACACACCTGAGGGGGCAGGACCCTGAGGGGGGAGGGGGTCTACTGGAGGAGCACCTGGTGCTAGGAAGAGTGGTGCGGGGGGGAGAGGGGCAGTGCGGTAGGGAAAGAGACGGTAGTAAGATACCGACTCGTCAAACGTGACGTCCTGAGAGGACAGAACACGACGCGAGGTGGGGTGGTAAAACTGCCACCCATGTGCGTCAGGGGGGAAGCCAAGGAAGACGCAGGGAACGGCACGGGAGGACAGCTTGTCCGCGGAAGTATCGCGGACAAAAGCTTGAGATCCCCAGACACGGAACACAGACGCATTGCCAACCTTCCCCGTCCACCGCAGAATAGGTGTGGTCTCCGACAAGGAGACACAAGGCTGAAGGTTGATCTGATGCGCAGCGTACTGAACCGCGAACGGCCACAGAAAATGGGGAGCAGCCGCATGGATCATGGACGTGCGAGCGACGTCCATGACCATGCCAATGCGGCGCTCAGCAATCCCATTTTGCTGTGGGGAGGCCGGAAGCGTGAACGTCTGGCGGATGCCCTCCGCACGACAGAAAGCCCTCAGAAGGTCGGAGGAAAACTCACCACCTCTGTCTGAGTGCAGATGCAGAACAGGAAGGTCCGAGCCGAAACGCTCGCTGAGCTGGTGACGGGCACCGCGGATCCAGTCGATCAACACCTCAGTGACCTCACCCTTGCGGTGTAAGGGGAAGACTGTGGTGTAACGATAGTAGTTGTCAACGACGAGCAGGAAGTAATGCTCGTGACCCTGTCCACGGACGCGGGCTGGGCCCCACACGTCCATGTGGAGAGTCTGCAGGGGAGCCTCTGTCGGAGGGAACTCGGAGGAGTGAGGAGCGGCGCGCTGCCGGCCCTCGACACAAGGAACACAGGTAGGGGCAGGCCCCGGAGGAAGGGGAGGGAGGGACCGGGGGAGACCAGAGACAAGGGTACGGGAGGCCATACCTCGAAGACAAGGCAGGGAGCGGTGACCAAGGCGGTGGTGCCAAAGGAGAGTCTCGTGTGACAGAGGACGACACGAGCAGGGGGCAGACGCTGGACTAGACCTGGATGTCAAACTTATATCTGCTATAGTCTGTTTAGGCTGTAGTGGGGTAGTTCTTAGAGGGTACAACACTTTTGTGTTCTCTACTTGTACCCATCTCGTTTCTAGTTCAATCATTCCATTCTCAATTCTCACATGGTATAGAGCTGGTTCGAGTTTTTTTTTCTTAGGGCCCACCACTCGAAATTTTTTTTCCTTACCTGCCCGAGGCGCGTGTCGCGTTTGACCGAGCCGCGCCCTAGTGCCTGCCCTTCGAGGCCCCTAGTGGCCTGTCGCTGCCCCTTCGTGGCCCTTAGCGGCCCCTCTTAAGGCCCGTCGCGGCCCCTTCTTAAGGCCCGTCGCGGCCCCTCTTAAGGCCCGTCGCGGCCCCTCTTAAGGCCCGTCGCGACCCCTTCTTAAGGCCCGTCGCGGCCCCTCTAAGGCCCGTGGCGGCCCCTCTTAAGGCCCGTCGCGGCCCCTTCTTAAGGCCCGTCGCGGCCCCTCTCAAGGCCCGTCGCGGCCCCTCTTAAGGCCCCTCGCGGCCCCTGTTAAGGCCCGTCGCGGCCCCTCCTACGGCCCTTTCGCGGCCCCTCTTAAGGCCCGTCGCGGCCCCTCGTGGCCCTTCGCGGCCCCTCTGACGGCCCGTCGCGGCCCCATCACGGCCCTTCGTGGCCCCTCTGCCGGCCCATCGCGGCCCCTCTGACGGCCCTTTGCGGCCCCTCTGCCGGCCCGTCGCGGCCCCTCTGCCGGCCCGTCGCGGACCCCCCCCCCTTCTTGGCCCCGACTGGCGCGCCCCCGGCCGGCTCCTGCTGCCGAGCCCCTGCCGGCCCCAACTGGCGCGGCCCCTCCTGGCGTGCCTCTGCCGGCCCCTGCCGGACCCTGCTGACGAGCCCCTGCCGACCCTTGCCGGCGCCTGCACCTGTCTCTGGTAAGCCGAGCCGCGCCACCCGGCTGAGCCGCGCCGCCCAGCCGAGCCGCGCCACCTAGCCGAGCCGCGCTGCTACTGCTACTGCTACGCTGCTGCTACTGCCGCTACTGCTGCTACTGCTGCACTACTGCTATTACTGCTACTGCTGCTCCTCTTCCTACTGCTTCCACTGCTGCTATGGCTAGTCCTACAATTCTCACATTTGACTCTGAGGGACGTGCAGTTGACTTTGACGTATGGGTTGATGACCTACAGCTCTTTCTTCAGTGTGATTCTAGGGATGGGGTATCCCTTTTCGGTAACACGTCCGGTGTTTCCACTGCTCCTCCTGTCACTGCTGACAGTACTGTTCGCTCGCAGTGGACCACTCGTGACGCTGTTGCTCGTCTTGCTGTTCGTAGTCACCTCAACAGCTGCCACGTGTCGCAGCTGTGCGAGCATGTCGCCGAGCGACGCATCCATTGGCAGAATCGGCGACCACGGCGTGGCGAGGATGGGGATAAGGCCGCTGCTCGTGGAATGTCGCACCTCCCCAAGATGAGGGGCTTCGCGGGGCATGTCTGGGCTCGCTACCTCCAACCTTTCCTTCCTGCCGGACGAAACCCGCATGGGTAGGTTTTATCGTCGCGAGCTGGGGGTTCCGAAGCTGCACGACCACCCAGCCTGGGAAACCAAGGTGCCAGCCGCGCAGGTCGCGCGATGGTGCGCTTTCGGACTGGAGCTGCATCGACTCCTCTGGCGTGATTGCCGCTCTCATGTATTTCAAGTCTGCGCTCTCTCAGGGCGGGTTACACTCATCACAGGCCAGGTCAATTTCGGCCGTGTAACCATGTTTTAACTGTAACCGTGTCGAGTTTTGAAACAAGAGTAACATGACACGATAGATCGAAACGCAGGGATTCGCAAGCAGGCGCGACATCGCGGTAACCGCATGTGCAGTTTGTTTTGCGATTTCGCAATCAGACCTGTTGAACCCTCTACGAACTCGACAACAGGGCCAGCCAACCAACATGCCTCCCGTGCCTGGCCCCAGAATTCCCCTTTCCCCAAACCAAGCGCCAGCTCTCACCAAGCCTTGCTTCGGCCGAGCGGATCTAAGCTTCTCAACTAGCCCGAGCCTCAATACCAGCTTTCGCTTTAATTTGGTGCCTGAATTTCCAACCATACCATAAACAACTCATCTACTAACGATGCTGCGCCAGGGCTTGACCCTGAGAGCATCACGAGCTGCATGGGTTCCGCCAGTCCTGCCTTTCTCCCCGCGACCCGATTTCCAGCCTTTTCTGAAGTGGCGACCGGCAGTGCGGGCAGTGCGGCGGCGCGGTGGAGCAGCGTCAGCGCATCCCATTCCAGGGCATTTAATCAAGGCATGCTGCCATTCGCATTTCACCCTCGATAGGTAATGAACGATAGTCAATAAGCGGTTGTTTGTCAGCCTCGCCGTCAAGTCGCCAAATTAGTAAATTCCGTCAGTCGAGCCGGCGTGTTTGAATCTGACGGCCGTCGCGATCGGCCTCGTCGCATGCCGACCGCCGTCTCATCGCCGTCACCGCCTCGCCTGTCGCCGCCTCTAGCCCGGAGCGTCGTTTCGCTGGCGGCGCTTCTGCTGCTTCTCGCGGCCCCCAGCAGCGCGCCCCCTCCGGACGATGGTGAGGGTCGCCGTCGTCGTCGTCGCCGCCCGCTCTGCCTAATGACGGCATCAGCACTCGCGCTCACTCTCCTTCCCGCCGCGTCTCACGCAAGCCATCTTCAACCCTTCGTTCAGCCCCGTCACCCTTCCATCTCCCCTTGCCAGGTCCTTCCCGCCAGCAGCAGCGGGAGGCGCAGTACATCGTGGAGCTGCGCGGCGCCCCCCTCGCCACGTACCGCGGACACCTCCCCGGCTTCCCCGCCACCGCGCCCAGGGACGAGGGGGTCGACCCGCACTCCGCCTCCCCCTTCCCCTCGACTCAGGGCGACCTGCCCCAGGGCGACCCGCCCAAGAGGGAGCAGAAGCAGCAGCAGCAATGGCGGCAGCGGCGGCGGGGAATAGACATGAGGGCGGGGCACGTGAGGGCGCTGAGGCGGGCGCTGCAGCGGCAGCAGGAGCAGGTGGCGGCGGACGCGGGGGTGGCAGCAGCGGGCGTGCTGCTGCACGTGCACACCGTGGCCCACGCCTTCGCCGCTGCCCTGTCCCCCCGCCAGGTGTGGCGCCTCAAGAGGCACCCCGCCGTGGCCTCCGTGCGCCGCAGCCGTGTCTTCCACGCCCCCGTCGCCCCCACCATGCCTCTCTCGCGTGCTCGCCCCACCCCTGCGTCGAATGCGTCTGCCTCCACGGCGTCTGCCTCGCGCACGTACGATGCAGACGCCGCCTCCTTCATGGGGCTGCCGGGGTCGCTGTGGCAGCAGGCGGGCGGGCAGAGCAGCGCGGGCGCGGATGTGGTGGTGGGGGTGGTGGGGTCGGGCATCTGGCCCGAGCACCCTGCATTCCATGCCTCCGTGGGTGCCTCTCTTCCACGTGCACACACTCTCTCTTTCTCCCTCTCACTTGCGCTCTCAAGCACTAAACTCACGCACATGCACACTCATTCCCACACCCGCATTCTCGCCCGCGCCCCTATTATCCTTCCGCACTCCCCACCACATTCCATCACCGCCTCTCAACGCCGCTCACCGCACACCTCCCGTGTGTGTCTCCCAGCAGGCGGTCACGGGCATGCCGGCAGGGTGGCAGGGTGCATGTGACACGACGCCAGACTTCACGTGCAGCGGGAAGATCATCGGTGCGCAGCGGCTGTATGCAGCAGCGCAGCAGAGCGGCGGGGCGGACTTCAGTGTGGAGTATGACTCTCCGCGCGACATGGATGGCAGCGGCACGTGGGCCGCAGCGTGGGTGCCCAGGGGGTTGACTTGGACGACATCTGCTTTCATTCCTTTTCTTCTTCCTTCGCCTTTTTGTCCTTCCTGCTCCCTTCTCTCACTCCCTTTCCCCGATCATTCCTCCCTTCCCTCCCGCACCTCCTCCCTGCCCCCCCGCCCATCACGGCGCAGAGCAGCGGTGGGCAGCGCGGTGACGTGGGCGGACGGAGCGCACACGAGCGGCATGGCGCCGGGGGCGAGGGTGGCGGTGTACAAGGCGGTGTGGGCGGGGTACGGGCACGAGGCAGACGTGCTGGGCGCTGTGGACCGCGCCGTGGCGGACGGTGTGGATGTGCTGTGCCTCACTGTGGGCGGCTTCAAGGGCTCCCTCGCCACCTACTTCACTGACTCTGCTTTTCTCAGCGCCCACGCTGTGAGCGAGAGGAGGTGGGGTGGGGGTGGGTGCAGGTAGGGCTGATAGTGTCACAGAGATATGGTGGCTAGACTAGGGGGGATGTGGATTGGTGATTGGGAGAACGGGGTTGGTGGGGAAGAGGAGAGGGTGGTGCATCGTGAAGGCTACCAGCCTGGCCTGTCTGTATCATCTTGCAACGTGAAGGCTCTTGACACATTCAAGTCCACCCGCTCACCTCACACCCTCACATCCTGACTGTTCATGCTGTGCTCGTGCGTGGAGGCAGGCAGGCGTGGTGGTGGTGATGGGGGCGGGTGACTGGGGGCAGCCCAACTTCTGGCGGCTGCTGGGGGCCTACATCCGAGTCATTGACAACTTCTCGCCCTTCTACCTCACTGTCGGCGCCAGGTGGGCTCTCAGGGGCGCCAGGTGGGTTCACTGTGGGCGCCAGGTGGGTTCAGTGAGGGCGGCTGTTGTGAGAGTTGTGAGGTGAAGAGTGTCCGTTCCCATGCTTGCTCCCACGACTCGTCAATCTCGTTCTTTGCTTGCCCGTCGCACAATTTGTGACCCCTCACCAGTCGTTGCAGAGTCAGTTTGCACGTTCTCGATGCCCAGAAAAATATTTGTGATTCTTTAATTTCCATCCCTCCCCCCAACCCCTCTTCTCTCCCTCCCTTTTCACCATCTCGCTGCACCTCGCCTGCCCCACTGCACCGTGCCTCTGTTCCACATCACCATCCTATGCTGCCATCCCATGTTGCCATCCCATTTATCACAGCACGATTGCAGGGGAGGGGGGCTTGTCAGGAGCGGACCCTGCTCGCCACATCAGCACAGCCTTGACAGCTGCTGCCAGCAGTGGCAGGTGGGGCGCACACCACTTGTTCTTTTCTTCTTCTGATTCTTTCCAAGCTCCCAAATCAGTTTGTAATCCTCTTTCCCCCTCCATCTGTCATTTAAACATTATTTCACTCCTCCCACTTGCCCGTTCATAGATTTCGCTCCCCACACACACATCCGCACCTGACTGCACTCACTTCGTCACCCACCATCGCATCATTCCATCCCACCATCTGTCCGTCTGTCTGTCCATCTGTCTGCTGCACCTGCCAATGCCAGTGACTTCAATGCGACAGCACTGCCATCATCATCAGCAGCAGCAGCACAGCCAGGCCCCACGGTGGCGGCCTTCTCCTCAGCGGGCCCGCTGGTGTGGCCGTGGTACCGGGTGCGCCCGCCCTTCCCCACCAACTCGCTGCTCAAGCCCGACCTCCTCGCCCCGGCCGTTGACCTCTGGTCCGCCGCCCCCGCCACCACCATTGGTGCCCCTGGGGACCTCATAAACCGCACCGGCACGTACCTGGCGGCACCGCTCGTGGCAGGCGTTGCAGCAGTGCTGGTGCAGCTGCGGCCTGGGTGGTCGCCCGCACAGGTGATGTCAGCGCTCATGACGTCCGCACGCACCACCACGGCGCAAGGTGCGCCCATGCGCACAGCGGGGGGCAGGAAGGCGACGCCGTGGCAGACGGGGTGCGGGGTGGTGCAGGCGGCGCGCGTGGCGGACCCCGGGCTGACCTTTGATGCCAGCGAGCACCACCTGCGCAACTTCCTCGCGGGGCAGAGCTGGTTCCGTGCGCGCCGGCTCTTCCCCGCCGCTGCTCTCTCGCGCCTGCCCCCGCGCAACCTGAACCGCCCGTCCATTGCGCTGGGGCGCGCCAAGGGCGTCACCATCATCCTGCGCACCGTGACGAGCGTGGCGGCTGTGGCGTCCACTTACACGGCCTCGGTGGTCAACCCCTGGGGGGTCGTGCTGACAGTGATGCCGCGGCGATTCACGATCGCGCCTGGCGAGAGTGTGACGTACAGGGTGGTGGTGCGCGTGGTGGGCAAGTCGATGAACTTCTTCTACGGCAGCATCACGTGGCGGGACGAGGTGGGCCATGTGGTGCGCTCACCCGTGGTGGTGCAGCCGCAGCGCCTGCTCAAGTGGTGCATCGGGTGCACCAAGGATGGGGTCATCAAGTGGCCTGGCGGGCCGCCCTAGCAGCCGTAGCAGCCCAGGAACAGATATACGAATGCAATACTGAGAGATGAGGAGAGGAACGCCTGCGGTTTATAGATACCGGTACGGCCATGATAAGATTGCCCTTTCCCAGATACCTAACCCTATAATCTCTTAGGAGAAAATCCCTTGTATATAGGTAGTAGAGTTTGAGTAGCATTTGTTGTACGATACCACCACCCAGTACACACTCGCACGTACTGACTAAATAACTCGACAGCAAGGCCGACACGACGCATCAGTGTGGAGCCACTCCTTTAACCAGTGTTGTATTGATCGGGACCTGGTTGCATTGCATTTGCATTTGCACGCCTCAAATCACGGCAACCCAGCAGAGTCAAGATTGAAGAGGCCTGTTGAGATAATGTCTTGTGTGAGCTGAGCTGTTTCTGGCTTGTGTGCTGACATGAGCCCGCATGGTTGTCTTGTCTGCCACTGCCACCTTCAAGTGGCGGTGTGAGCCATCCCATCCCACATGCACCCACCTTCACACCTGCACCTCCGCCACCACCTGGCAACTGCGCATTAGTGATGCTGCTTTCTTGCCTCTTTGCCTTGCCGCCTTCCTGCCTCGCTACCGTTCAATTCCCCTACCACCAGACCACATGAGCCAACCATGGCCCCACCCCACCGCACCCCACCCGTCTCCCCTCCCTCACCCCCCGCGTGTCTTGAACTTGGCGCGGGGCGACTGCCTGGCCTCCTGGGCGAGCAGGGCGAGGGACTGGTCGCGCACCCACCAGTCGAGCTGCTCGCCCGGCCGCACGCTCTTGATGCAGAACTTGCGCTCGTCGTCCAGCAGGCCCTGGAAGTGGTTGAAGCGCGCCGCATCCGTGTCCACGTCGATGCCGCCCATGCGCGGCACCTCCACGCGGTGGATCTGCACCGCCACCACCTGCCGTGGGTCTGCCGCCACGCGCCGGAACCCGTGGTAGTCCAGGCAGAGCTCCCAGCGTGGGTACGCCTCCTTGTTGGTGCAGTAGATGTGCGGCCACCGGAACAGCATGCGCTCCAGCGCCCATGGCTGCTCCACCGCCGCCTTCTCCGCGCCCTCTGTCACCTGCACGCCGCCCTCCCCCGCGCCGCCCTCCGCTATCCCCCCCACGTCGCGCGCCTCATCGCCCGAGTTCTGCCCCTCGATCATGGCGGCGCCGCGCACGACGATGCGCTCGGTGAGAGAGGAGAAGGTGCACTTCTCAAACGACCACCAGCGGCTGCCAAACGTCACGTAGGGGCGCCCGTCGTACGCGTTGACGGTGGCGAGCAGCGTCTCGCCCTTGGCGGCGGAGAAGAACTCGGTCATCTCGGCGAAGAACACCCACTTGGAGGAGAAGCGGTGCCGCTGCACACAGTCGTTGAGCACCATGAGGCGCCCGCGCTCCCACGCCTCGTACGCCGTGATCTGGCGCACGTCCACCACCTCCACCACGCCCTGCTCCGTGTAGCTCTCCAGCATCGTCATCAGCGCCGCCCCGATGCCGCCCGCGTCGTACAGCACCAGGCGGTCCACGCCGCTGTGCAGGTGGAACTCCATCCACTCGTACATGCGGCGCGGGATGATCTTCCCCGCCAGGGGGGGCGAGCAGTACGTGAGCTGGTACTTGAAGGGCGCCTTGGGCGTGGCGGAGGGGAACTGCTTGGGCTCCTCCATGTACGCCACCACGTCCTCCTTGTCCACCGTCGCCAGCAGCAGCCCCCCGTAGTCCGCCTCCGTGGACTCGTCCAGCTCGCACACCAGCACCACCGCCTCGTACCGCAGGTTGTGGTGCTCGCCCGGGTAGAACGCTGCACACAGGGGGGCATGCAGGGCGTGTGTGGTGGGACGGCATGCAGGGCGTGTGTGGTGGGACGGCATGCAGGGCGTGTGTGGTGGGACGGCATGCAGGGCGTGTGTGGTGGGACGGCATGCAGGGCGATCAACATAGACGTGCACAAAGTGCCATTAATCTCAAACCGAAACATCCCACATGCCATCGATGTGGGCCACAATCCGAGAGCACTGACTGCTACAGCCACCAACCCAAGAGCCCCCTGCACGTTGCGGCCTCACCTGTGAGAGTGCCTCACCTGCGAGAGTGCCTCACCTGTGAGAGTGCCTCACCTGCGAGAGTGCCTCACCTGTGAGAGTGCCTCACCTGTGAGAGTGCCTCACCTGCGAGAGTGCCTCACCTGTGAGAGTGCCTCACCTGTGAGAGTGCCTCACCTGTGAGAGTGCCTCACCTGCAAGAGTGCCTCACCTGTGAGAGTGCCTCACCTGCAAGAGTGCCTCACCTGCAAGAGTGCCTCACCTGCAAGAGTGCCTCACCTGCAAGAGTGCCTCACCTGCAAGAGTGCCTCACCTGCAAGAGTGCCTCACCTGTGAGAGTGCCGGTGACGCGGTGCCCGCCATTCTTCTCCTTCCACACGCACTTGCCCAGCTTGCGGGAGTCGCGCAGGGCGCGCCCAGCCAGCCCAACGATGGCGAACTTCACGGCGTTCATGCGGTACGATGCGAAGTGCACCAGCCCGTACACGGGCGCGTGCTCGCGGAACCGGTAGTTGCGAGTGGCCTCGCGCGCCTCCACGGCGTCGGGGTTCACCTTGAGAATGCTGATCAGGTTCTTCTTCTGCCCGCCGCCCAGCCCAAACCGGCTGAGCCCCATGGACAGCAGCCCTCCCACCGACCCCCCTGCTGCTCCTCTCGCGCCCTTCCCTGCCGCCGATGCGCCAGGCACCGCCACTGCTCCCGTCGCCCGCCCCGCTCCTTGCAGCATCTGCCTGCCCGCCGCCTCCCCCGCTTTCGCCCCGCCCCCCCCTGCCCCTCCTCTTCCGTCCCCGCCTGCCCCCGCCGCCCCGGCGGCTCCCCCTCCCATCCCCACGCCGTTCCCCGCCTGCATCCCCCCCGCCGCCCCCCCTGTTGCTGCCGCTGCGCGCTCCGCCCCGCCTGCTGCAGCGGCGGCGGTGGCGAGGCCACCAGGCGGGGGGGCGGGGGCGGGGGCGCGCATGATCACGATGACTAGCAGCAGCGCCGCGATCACCAGGTACGGCAGGTTCTGCCGCAGCGCCGCCGCCACGTGGTAGTACCGCGCGCTGCCGCTGCGCCGCTTCGACCGCGCCGCCATCGGCCCCCCCATGGTACCCCCCATTGGTCCCCCCATGCCCCCCCTCAAGGCCATCGGGTCGCCCAGTGGCGGCGACCCGAAGAACGGCGGCCCGCCGGCCGCTGCATTGGGGCGGTACCGAGGCGGGGACGATGTTGACGTCATCATCCCCGCTACAGAGTCGTTCGATAAACGAATTAGGTTTCCCCCACTACCGTTGCCTGCCAATCGGTTCAGGCTTCCGCCGCTGCCGCTGGCGGTCATCGTGGCGCCATCCATCTCCCTGTCGCGGAACGCACCTGCGCCGCCCATCTCGCGGTACCCTGGCGGCGCCGAGTCTCTCATGCCCATGCCCAACCCCGCGGCGCCCGGCTCCCGGTAGCTCCCTCCGCCGCGGACCCCCCCGCCGTCCCGCAGCGGCGCCCCCTGGAGGTCCTCGTCCCTCGGCGCTCCGCTCATGCCCCCTCCTGGCGCACCCATGGCGCGCGGAGCGGGGTCGCGGAACCCGCCCATGCCCGGTCCGCGCATGGCAGGGGCGCGCGACTAGCGGGTGATGCGCACCGGAGGAAGGAAGGATGGGCGGTAGGGGTCTACTAGACAAAGAATTGGAGGACCCAAAATCGCCAGAGGGCAACCATGCCTAGGTACGCTAAAAAAAAAGTATGTTCGGAGTTTCCCAAAGGAATGCACGATGAAACCCTAGAACAGAACAAATACATCTTTGCACCTCCTTCCCCAAACCGCGATCAAGCGACTACCGAATGCGCAGGTTACAATGCGAAAGTGAATTCATGTTACAGTTACCGTCGCAGCTGCAAATGTTATGCTAAAATTGTAACATCAACTCATACTCCACAATAGAGTAGTGTACCGATCCCGAACTGTATGCAGTCACTCAGTAACGGGTAACCTCATCAAAAGGAAATTGACACGTCATTCCGAACCCTCCCTCAGACGCGATGCCTTTTTCCAGCGCATATGAAGAGATATTTTATCCAAACCCTTGTTTGGAGATTCGTTGTTGCACACGTGGCCACCATTTGCTCGCGTGGTTCTACGATTCACTGATAATTTCCCGAGTGGCCTTGCCAGGGGATTCCCGTGGTGTTTTTTTCTACCCGGCACATTACCCTACAAGGGTTTGTATCCCTGAAATTCCTTGATAGTACTCATCTCATCCCGCGGAAGCGTTGCATACTATTCCCCACTCAAAAATTTCGGGCGGGTGGCTGGCGCGAACGTGGCCCACTCACTGTACAGAAAACCGACAAATAGTCACGACCAACAGTATTTTAGAAAATGGAAACAGGAATGTGGCATTGACTAGGGTTGTGGGTACAAGTAGGAAATCCTAAGGGGTTGTACTTACTAGAGTATGCCCCACTACAGCCTAGAGAATACAAACATAGTTTGACACACCCCCATAGGCAAAGTGGGGGATAGCAAACACAACGGACGGTCACAAGACCAGTCAAGCAAGAGAACAATGCTAATCAAAGCTCAGAGTGGAGCTTAAGATCACCATACATTCTGAGCACAAGCAAGCGGCCATAAGGCCAGTTCCCATGCATAGTATATAAAAGCAATTGCAGTACATTGATCACAACCTAGCAAGAGCAAACTGTCAAACATATATGCTTAGTTGTATCTAGGCTTAGTTTATGTGTTTACAGTTGTTTAGGCTATAGTGGGTTTAGCCTTAGGGGGTACACAATTTCTCTCGACATTGTACTTGTACCCCTCCCCCTTTCCTAGTCAAACCATTCTCGTCACTTATTCTAACATGGTATTAAGAGCATAACTTTCCTAGGACCTAATCTTAATGGGCCCACCACCTACTGCCCTGCTAGCCTAGGCCCCGGCCCGTCGCCCCTTGGCGTCGCCCCTAGCCCCTAGGCTCGG